CCTGTAGATGTTCATTTAAGTCTCTCCTCTTAGGTAAATAGCTGTGTATGTTTATGCTGAATGGGACAACATATGTTTAATTTTTTCAAGAGAGTGACAAGCTGTTTTGAAGACTATATGAAAATTCAGTTTTGCATCAGGAGAATGGTGGTTTTCCAGTAGTTACATATGGCTGCTAACACTTGGGATGACCAGCCATCTAATATTAGCCATTAGGCAGGTGTGTTAATACTCAACTCTGGACTGGTGTACAATTCCATAATAACTTTAACAGAGCTGTGGACCACTGGAAAAATTTTATCTTTATACAATATGTCTTTTTTTTAATGTGCATATAGTACAGTGTCTAGTTTTATGGGATTTGATGCAGTTATAGTATTAAACCTGTATACATGTTTAATACATATAATGATCAAGATGCAGAACTGCAGCAGAAGGATGGATTCTGTCTTCTTATCCATTCTGTTAATCTGTGTCTTTTTATAGGCGAGTTAAGACCATTAATGTTGAGGGATATTAATGACAATTGATTGTTCATTCTTCTTTGTTTTTGATTTGGTGATGATGGCGAAATTGTGTGAGGGATCTATCCTTCTGCTATTTACAAGAAACACACCTCAACTTCAAAGACAGAGGGTTCCTAAGAATTAAAGGCTAGGAAAAGATCTTCCAATCAAATGGACCTAAGAAACAAGCAGGGTAGCAATCATAATATCCAACAAATGGGACTTTAAACTAAAATCAATCAAAAGAGTTGAAGGGGGTCACTTCCTACTCATCACAGGAGAAATCCATCAGGATGAATTCGCAATTCTGAACATTTATGTGCCAAATGCAAACGCATCCACATTTGTAAAATAAACATTACTAAAACTCAAATCACACATAAACTGCACACAATTATAGTAGGATATTTCAACACCCCACTCTCACCACTGGACAAGGACACCAGACAGAAACTTAACAAAGAAACAAAGGAACTAATAGAAGTTATGGCACAATTGGACTTAACAGATATCTATAGAACATTCCACCAAATACAAAACAATTTACCTTCTCAGTGCCTCATGGAACCTTCTCTAAAATCGACCACATACTTGACAAAATCAACCACATACTGGGCAACATAGCAAACCTCAACAGGTACAAAAAAACTAAAATAACCCCCTGTATTTTATCAGACAACCATGCTTTAAAGTTAGAATTCAACAACTACAAGAATTACAGAAAACCTACAAACTCATGGAAATTAAGTAACACCCAATTGCACAATTCCTGGGTCTAGGAAGAAATAAAAAAAAGAAATTAAAGATTTCCTAGAATTTAATGAGAATGCGGACACAACATATCCAAATCTATGCGATACTTTGAAAGCAGTACTAAGAGGAAAGTTCATAGCACTAAATTCCCACATTAAGAAACAGGAGAATAATCACACTAGAGAATTAATAGCACCACTGAACACTTTAGAAAACAAAGAAGCCAATACACCCCGGAGGAGCAGATGCCAGGAAATAATCAAATTGAGGGCTAAAATCAATATAATGGAAATTAAGAGAACAATACAAAGAATCAATATAACAAAAAGTTGGTTCTTTGAGAAAATCAACAAGATAGACAAACCTTTATCCAAACTTACCAAACAGCAGAGAGTGAACATGCAAATAAATAAAATCAGGAATGAAAAGGGGGACATAACAACAGACATAGAGGAAATCCAGAGAATCATCAGGTCATACTTCAAAAACCTATATTGCTCAAAATTTGAAAATCTAAAGGAAATGGACAATTTTCTGGACAAATTTCACTTACCAAAATAAAATCAAAACAGATAAGCAACTTAAATAGACCTATAACCCCTAATGAAACTGAAGCAGTCATCAGAAGTCTCCCAACCAAAAAAAGCCCAGGGACAGATGGCTTCAGTTCAGAATTCCACCAGAAATTCAAGGTACAGCTAATACCAATTCTCCTCAAAGTATTCCACACAATAGAAGCCGAAGGATCATTGCCAAACTCTTTTTATGAGGCTTCAATAACCTTGATACTGAAGCAACACAAAGACCCAACTACGAAAGAGAACTACAGACCAATATCCCTCATGAACATTGATGCAAAAATTCTCAATAAACTACTGGCAAATCGAATCCAAGAATATGTCAGAGAAATCATCCACCATGATCAAGTAGGTTTCATCCCAAGATACAGGATGGTTCAACATATATTTGCAGATGATATGATCGTCTACATAAGTGACCCAAAAAACTCAACCAGGGAACTTCTACAGCTGATAAACACCTTCAGCCAAGTGGCAGGATACAAGATTAACTCAAAAAAAATTTGTAGCCCTACTATATATGGATGACATATTGGTGGAGAAAGAAATCAAAGAAACATCACCCTTTACAATAGCAACAAATAAAGTAAAAGATCTTGGTAACAGTAACAGTAACCAAACTAGTGAAAGACCTGTATAGCAAGAACTTTGAGATTTTAAAGAAAGAAATTATAGAAGACACCAGAAAATGGAAAGATTTCCCATGCTCTTAGATGGGTAGGATCAACATAGTAAAAATGGCAATCTTACCAAAAGCATCTACAGATTCAATGCAATCCCCATCAAAACCCCAACACAATTCTTCACAGACCTTGAAAGAACAATTCTCAACTTTATATGGAGAAACAAAAGACCCAGGATAGCCAAAACATCCCTGTACAATAAAGGAACTTCTGTAGGCATCACCATCCCTGACTTCAAGCTCTATTACAGAGCTATAGTCCTGAAAACAGCTTGGGAAGAGGGGTTTCACTGAGGAAACCTCAGAGATCTACGGGATCTCTGTAGTAGTTCAGTACCTATCCCTTGCATAGGTGTGGACTTTGGGAGCCCATTCCACATACAGGAATACTCCCTGAGCCAAGACACATGGGGGTGGACCTAGGCCCTATCCCAAAGGATATGATAGACTCTGATGACACCCTATGGAAGGCCTCACCATCCAGGGGGAGCAGAAAGGACATGTGATAGGTAGGGGTTTTTGGGGGGGGGAATTGTAGAGAAGGATGGGAGGGTGAGGGGAACTGGGATTGTTATGTAAAAAAATCTTGTTTTTAATTCAAATTTTAAAAAATCTGAGTAAAAATAAATAAATAAATAAATAAATAAATAAATAAATAAATAAATAAATAAATAAATAAATAAATAAATGCAGAACTGGTCCATGACTCTGAGAACTCCCTCATGAAGCTCCTTCACACTAGAGCTCAAGCACAAACCATCAGCTCAACAAGTCTCAGCCCTGGGTCTGTTGGATTGATCCTCCTTTCCTCAACTGTCACAGCAACAGAGCCATAAAACATGTGGCTCTGAATCTGGCTCCTTTGTTTATCATGATGCATCTGAGACTCATCCCTATCATTATGCTTAGTAACAGTTTATTGCTATTTATTTCTGAGTATTACAATACAGCCTCTTGTAATTTTGTTTACCCATTCACCAATTAAATTCCATTTTTGTTGTTTCCAGATTTCACAAATTATGGATGATGCTATTATATACATCCATACATATAGGTTTTATATAAAATTATTTCACAAATATATGTAAGAACAATTTTTAAAGTTATTGATTGTCAAGGGGGCTACATGGGACAGTTTGGAGGAGGAAACGAGAGGGTTAAATGATGTAATTATAATATCAAAACATAAAGAAACTATTTTTTAAATTTTAATTTTACTTTTAAGTTACATATAAAAATTATTTCATTTATCTTCAGTAACCCCATAGGAGAAGATGGCTAAATTTAGTGGCTGGAACATAATAAATATCATAGGAAAGTTTGAAAATATTTCCAAGGTGATTCAGCCATCTTGCATTTTCACTGATAATATACATTCCATATCCTTGTCAAACATCATATTGATAGCTTTTAATATCAACAGTGTTTTATCCTTTGCAATAGATAAGTAGTATTACCTCACAATAGTTCTAATGTTCATTTCTTTTGCCACTACTGGATCAAGCATATTTTTAGCCACATGGTTGCCAACCAAACATTTTATTTACTTGACTTGAACAAATATGCAAAGTTAATCATAAGACAGATTTTTCAGTAAATGCTATTGGAAAATTTAGACATAAAATGCAATTTAAAATTTTAGTGTACACTTTGAGTCACATGCAAAAATTTACTCAAAACCAATTATATACTGAAATATAAATCCTAAAGCTGAAATTTTATAAAAGAACACCTTTGTGACTATAAGTTGAGCCAGTATTTCCTGAAAAGGACAGAAAAATCATAAGTCACAAAGAAATACAATGGTCCATTGGACTTCATCAAATGAAAATCTCTTCAAAAGATGCAATTTAGAAGAAGATGAAACATTCATTCCAAACATGTATGCAGTGCAGGGTTTGTATCCAGAAATATCAACAGAGTTCCAAAGCTTAACAATAATCAGAACAATATAAAAATGGCTAAAGTACTTGAACAGACTTCACCAAATAAAAATTAAAATTGCAAATACAAAGATATCAAATATAATTAGTTAATTTGAAAATGCAAATTAGAACCATAAAGGGATACCACTAGATTAATGTTTGTTGGACTTGGTAAACATAGAAACACTGATCACAGCAAGTGATAATATAGCTGTAGAAAATAATAATTGTCATATCCCTACTGAATGGGGACACGGAATGGCAAGATCCCCACAGGAACACTATGGACAAGAGAAAAACATGTATATGTCTATACATAATACTGCACATAGATGTCCATAGTGGCTTTACATGAGTAATTAAAAGATGAGCATTTGTTGTCCATCTTCCAGAAATAGTTTAGCACACCGTGATTTCACTATACTAGTGAGGGCACAAAAGCACAAAATACATACTTTTAGGCCTGTAGACACAATATGCAGGAAGTAAAGAGGACTCTATACAGCATAAGGAAGTGTTTCTTCTTTGTCCTTTGAAGATAAAGCTAGCTTCTTACCTATGTACTTATAACCTTCTTCTCCATTCACTATGGGTCTCAGCCATGTGGACCGGAGTCTTGTGCTAATGTTCACTTTGGCACCTCGAGGAGGGTAGAGTGTAAATAACAGTTCAATTGCACTGGACTTTTTGATTACTTCAGAGTATTTTCCTGGGCTGTCTGTAAAAAAGAAGAGAGAATTGGGTTTTTAAAGGTTTTGCATATTTTATATGCCGTATAAATTTACTATCAAAGATGAAAACTAAAATCTACATAACAATTTTAGTGCTAAACATTATATTGAAAACATGGGTTGTCTTAAATCAGAATTGTTTTAACAAAAGTCATATTGCTTATACAGTCCTGACAAAATGTATAATGTAAGCCAATATCATACTCAGATGCTATCATTTTAAAGCAGTGATTGTCAAAGCTACACAAAACTTAAATTAAGTAATGAACCACATTGCACTAAACATTCCATAACACAAATGAACATTTTTAAGATTTTAATTGCCAGGAAACAGTAAAATCAGATAATCTGACAAAATTTTGAATCAACATAAAGTTTTATAAACTGGCAACAAAGAAAGAATTAGCATCCCTAAACTAATGTTTTTTTTTTTTTTTAAAGAAAAAATACATACACAAGTGTCCTTTTCTTCAAGCACACCACTTGTAGTGAACAAAGAATTGACACAAGTTCTCTAAGATAGTACCACATTACATTGTCAAAGCACATCTCCAAGGGAGATCCTATTTCTATACACCTGAAGAAACAGGCTCCCAGAAATTACAAAACTTGTCCATATCTTACTCCATACAAGTATCATATTATAGCATAGGTATGCTTTTCAACTAAATATCACTTGGCTTCAGAAGTACATCAGGAAATGGAACTATGAATCAAAAACTTATCTGAATTGCAGAGCAAAACAATTTCTGGTTATGGTCTTGAGTTTTCTTTCCCATTTGTCAGTATCCTAAACTCAACAACTTCTGAGAAACTAAAAGGGCATGTGTATTTAGCAGTGAAGAGGTGAGAAAGGATAGTACAGAAGAAGACAAGGAAAGAGAAGGGAGTTTTTAAAAGATGCCTGAAAAAGACATAGGAAATTTTTATTTTATATTTATCTAAATATTACATTTAGTTCATATATTAATATGTGTGTATATAGCTTAAAACTTAAATTATACCACTTGAGGTGAAAATACTTCCCCCAAGAGCCATAGATTATCTAACAAAAACCCCTAGGCTTCAAACCCTTTTCCCAAGTAGTTGGTCAGGGGACTCCAAGAAATTCGCAAGACAATATTGTCTATTGTTATTGCCCTTGGTTTGCCTCCCAGAACTTGAAGATAAGTTCCTATTGCTGAAGACACCATTACAGTTTGGGCATAGGATTAAGAGAGTTTGAACTGAAACTGACCTCAAAGCCTCCTCCTCAAGGACTAGCCTTCAAAATACAAAAGGTGGCATGTAAGCTGCTAGGGGAGGAAATCAATCAATAGTCCTTCTCATCGATGATGCTTATGAATCACAGCAGTAATCTGATATCGCTAAAGGTAAATAGTGGAATTTATATATTAGCAGTAGCTAACAGCTCTAATGAGCTCTAATGAACTCAAGGCTCATTTAATCTGAGGAAAACTATGCCTGATACTGTAACCCTAGAAAACTACACATAGGCAGTGAGGTCTTGGTTCTTAGAAGGTGACCTACTATGGCCACTTTTCTAAACCACTGTAATCCCTAACTACACCCTAATTACTTAACTGTATACCCACAGTTAGTGAATTTCACCCTCATGGAAGCAATAAAAGACCGTTATCAAAATCTATGACAAATCAAAATTCTAGAAACAATTGACTGTGGAGTATCTGGCCCCAATGATAAATCTGCAACACAACTCCTACACCCAAGGCTCAGGGAGCAAGGCACAAGAGGAGGCAGAAAGATTGTAAGAACCAGAGGACCAAAGAGCTTGATGTAAGAGTGTGCCTTCTAGCTATCACGGGAACACCCATAAAATCTCAAGAACTTGGCTGTCTGAAACAGACCTGAACAAGTCCAGCAACAGTGGACAGCCCAATTTAGACAGAAAAAAATCTCACAGGTCTCCACCCCTAGACAAAGAGCTATAGGATAGAGACAGAGAATTAGTACTTGGCAATGTAGGGGTGATGAGCCTCTTGAATAGTCAGCCATAAAAACACAAACAGGCAGCACTGATAGGACCCAGCAAGTTGTATTTATGCATTGATTCATTCATATGTATTTGCAACAACAATGGTTAGAAGGAGGAGGTTTAGAATTGGGTTGGGGAGGATCAGATATGGGACAGCTAGGAAAGGATGGGGAGAAATGATATAATTAGATTTGAATTTTGAAGGTAGTTAATATTTATTCTGACAAAACATTAGATTTTTTATTATATATTTTTACTTAATTTAGAAATGATCTTAGCTGGGCAGTGGTGGCACATGCCTTTAATCCCAGCACACTGGAGGCAGAGGCAGCAGTATCTCTTTGAGTTGGAGTCCAGCCTGGTCTTCAAGAGCTAGTTCCAGGACAGCCTCCAAAGCCACAGAGAAACCCTGTCTCAAAAAACAAAAACAAAACAAAACAAAACAAAACAAAACAAAAAAACAAAAAAAAGAAAGAAAGAAAGAAAACAAAAAAATAATCTTATTTTGCCTATCAATCCCAGTTCCCTCTCCCTCCCATCCTTCCATTCCCCCCAAGGACCCCCACATCCCACCCCACCATCTATTCCCCAGGGAGAGTGAGGTCTTCCATGAGGGAATCACCAAAGTCTGTCACATCATTTGGGGCAGGGCCTAGGCTCTCCCCTGTGTATCTAGACTGAGAGAGTATCCCTCCATGGAGAATGGGCTCCCAAAGTCCATTTGTGCACGAGGGATAAATACTGGTTCACTGTTAGAGTTCCCATAGACTGTCCAGGCCTCCTAACTGATACCCACAAAAACCTCCATGGAATGCCTTATCATGTTTTGCTTCTTTCTTTTCCTCTTATGTTTCCTTATTTTGTTAAAAATCCTTTTGCAGGGAGGGTAAATAACCACAAGAAAGTTTCACAAAATAATTAAGAATGAGGATTTGTTGGTAGGCAGAGAGCCAAGCTCCAAGGCCTGTCTTCATTGTCTTTCTTGCAAGGCCAGGACCTCCATGTGGTATGATCTCAGCACCAACCTAAGAAGTCAATGGAGGTTCTGGAGTATCTCTCAACTGGTGCCTAATGCCAAGTCACCAGCCAGGCAGGGCAGTTTCCTCACCATCCTCATCCTTTATCTTACCCTGCTCAGGGCTTCACAGTGTGACATCACCCCACAGTTACTTCTGGAACCCTAGAAAATGGCTTCATATGAGATGCACAAGTATGCCTTCTCAGTAGTGTCCACCATTCCCTGAGCTGGAGCTGCACCATCACTGAGGACATGTCAATCTGGGGTGAAAGGTCTGCTTTACTGTCCCTTGATTGCTTGGTATCCACTTCACTCCCTGTATCTGCTCTACTCTGCTCTTTAGCATTGTTATTCCTTAATAGAGGTATGGTGACTCCAGTTCCTGTCAAGAGTTAATGATTTCTCAGGCTAGATTTTTCTTACACAAATTCCTGGATAGTTTATGCCTCCAGACTGAACCTTAACTCAGATAGATAGACTTTGAAATATTAAACAATTAAAAACAATTAAACCCCAACTGATGACATTAACCTCCTAAAAATACTTGATTAAATTATACAGCATTTTATACCACCATATCTATTAAATATTTAATGAGTACATTTATAGATGTCAATGAGGATTTTTCCAATGATAAGGAAAACTGAGTTAGCATTTAGCATTTAAATGTCACTGTGTATCTTTTATGATTATTTTTTGTTTGGTATGGGGGTGTGGGTGTAGGACAGAAGTCAAGCTTGGCAGTTATTAATTAGAACTGCCCACCTTGTTTTGTGCGACAGTGTCTCTTACTGACATGAAGATCACCAAGTAAGCCAGGGTGGTTGGCCAGAAGTCCAAGGGATTGGACTCTCTCAACCTCCCACCTCTGGATTATCAGTGTGCACCAGGACACCAGGATTTAGAATATTATTTCATCTTGTTAGTGTGAGCAAACTACAGGGGTAGTTACACTTCCTTTTCAAAATATAAAGTTAAAACCTATTCCCTCCTAATCAAACCAAATCCCAGACTTAAAGTATCTTCCCATTGGCCATGCTTGGGTCAGACTTCTTTAAGAAGTTGAGCAGGGAGCTCTCATGCAACATATGCACTTCCAAGCATTAAGGAAGCTAAGAGTGAAGAATAACAGCACAGGAAACTCTGGCTGAATCACACACCGTGACTCTCTGTAGAGCACAAGAGAAGGAAGTAAATGAACTGCAGCTGCTCCTTGAAACCATAAAGAGAAAAATAAAGGAAGTGGGAGTGACTCCAAATAATATCAGCTGCCTAATAGAAAAGGATCAAATTGCACAGAAGCCTTTTCCTTTCCCACATTTATTTCATTCTAATTCCTTCATCTTGAAACTCTGTCCAAACCTATGTGTGGCAGCTCTCTTTTGTAATCCCAGGACTTGAGTAGAGGAAGGGGCATTATCACAGGCTTGAAGTCAGTCAGCCTAAAGTACAGAGTGAGCTCAACCCCAGCCTGGAAACACAGAGAACTAGGCCCAATAAATACTACTATAAAACAAGAATGCATTATAAATTTGATAAGATTATTATTATACTTAATTAATCATTTTGTTTTTCATAAAGGTCAATGCTTCAGTTTTAAGTAAGCAAAAGGGTTACACTAAAATCTAAGCAATAGTGAGCATGGGACTGCCATTTTCTATGTCTAAATTTACAGTAGAATACATATACATCATGTGAGAGAAAGTGTGTATTTGTAGTGTGTTCTGTGTATGCTGTGTGTGTGTTTTGGGGGGTGTTATTGTAGAGGCATGGAAATTACACACAGAACTAGGTTCAAATAAAGGTTAAATATAATTTATTTCTGGGAGAAGTCACTTACATAAGAAACAGATGGCCACCTCAGGTTCCTAAGGATCTGCACAGGCTGCTCTCTGTGACCCAACCTGATACAAGAGAGAGCCCAATGCCCTGACCCCAGACCTAAACTCACTCCCCAGCACATCTTACCTGTG